CTGTAAAGTAAAATTTGCGAATAAACTATCAGAAAGTTTTGAAGTTAGAGTTGGACTAAAACAGGCATATGAGCATTCTCCCGTACTCTTAAATCTGCGCGTTAGAAAATGTAATTAGATCTCTTCCCGCTAGGCAAAGTATGAAAATTCTGGTACAGAACATTTACTATACGCCAAGGATATTGTTATAATTGGTATTCTCCGAAATGAAGTGGAAAGGAGGACCGCAGACCTAATAAAAGCACCGCAACCGATTGGATTAAAAGTTAATCAAGAAAAGACTAAGAACCTAGTGGTATCAAGAGAAGCGAGAGCACAAGCTGATTTGCTAGTGGATGGATATGTCTTCCAACAAGTAATAGATTTTAGGTACTTAGGAACTAATATAAACAGCCGAAACAATATGCACAATGAAATTAAATTGAGTATTACATCAGGGAACCAGGAATATTATGCACTTTCGAAATTATTTAAATCCAAATACTGTCCAGGAAGTCTAAAGCATATATATACTACAGCTTTTTACGACTGGTTTTGACGTATGGCTGTGAAACCTGGTCAGTGACTAAGGGAGATGAGGAGAAGATAAATGTTTTTGAAAGAAAAGTACTACGTCGAATGTATGGACCTGTAATGGAAAGTGGAAAATATAGAAGAAGAACTAATCAAGAATTGTAACAAATGTTTAAAAAGACCATTATTAGTTCGTTTCTAAAAAGTAAAAAGTTAGAATGGACGGGTCATATTTCGAGATCGGAAGGCATGGCAAAAAAACCGTTTACTGGAAGAATAAACGGTAAAATACCCAAGGGTCGACCAAGACAGAAATGGGCGGACAGAGTGAAAACGGATCTCCGGGAAATTTCAGAAGAAATAAGGATTGATGATAGCGAAGACAGAATAGGTGGAGAGGTGTGGTTGAGGCAGCGGAGGTCCTAAATGGACTAAAAGCTGGACGAGAAAAAGAATATTACAATACAAATTGTTGATTATTAATTTCATGCTAAGTTTATGTTCATAATATCTTCTTCTTCTTCTTCCTCGCCTTAATCCCAACTACTTGGGGTCGGCCACCCTTATCCTAAACTTCTACTTGACACGATCTCCTACATCATCTACGCTCACATCAGCTGTCCTCATATCGTATTCAATATCATCCCTCCATCTCTTTTTTGGTCTTTCTCTACCTCTTCTTCCTTCAAAATTCATTTCTATAACTATTCTTACTGCTTCCGATTCTTCTTTTCTCATAACATGACCTAACCATCCAAGTCTATTTCCTCTCATCTTATCCACGATTGACGCTACACCTATACTATCTCTTATATGCACGTTCCTTATCCTTATCATTATCCCTATCGTTCCTGATCTTCTCTAGTCACTCCACTCATCCATCTAAGCATTCTCATCTCTGCGACACTCATTCTCTGTTCTACTTTCTTATCATCCGCCCAACACTCTGAACCATACATCATAGCTGGTCTCACTACAGTCTTGTGGAATGTACCTTTCAGCCTCATTGGATTTCTTTTATCGCATAAGACGCCAGACGCTTCTTTCCACTTCAACTACCCGCACTTAATTCTGTGTCCTAAATCCTCGTCAATACCACCACTCCTTCGCACAACTGACCCTAAATATTTAAAACTTTCCACCTCTCCAATCACGTACTCTCCTATAGTCACTACTCATTTCAACTACCTCGTGTTCTCCTTTGTCAAACTCGTACTCTATAAACTCTGTCTTACTTCTACTTATTATTAAACACTTTTCTTCAATAGCTGATCTCCACACCTCTAGTCTTTGATTAATTTTCTCCCTATTAACACTATATTGTCAGCAAATAAATACATGACAGCTCCTCTCCTAGTATTTTTCTAGTAATTTCATCCATCGCTATAGAGAATAAGTAAGGGCTTAAAGCAAAACCTTGGAACACTCCTACTCTTATCCGAAAACCTTCTGTTACTCCTATTACGCTTTTTACCTTGGTACTAGTGCCATCATACATATTATCTATTATATTAATGTATCTTTTCGGGATAGGGTCAAGTGGGGTAAATGGAAATTGGAGCAAAAGGAAAAAAATATTATTTAAATTAAATTATTAGTGATTATAAAATTTGGTATCATTGTAACCACAGTACACATAAGGTATAACAGTGTGCAATGATAAAAACATGGAAAATTTAGGGTTATGTACAAATAGTTATTACTCGAAAAAGTGTCTATGATTATTTTAGTTTATGTTTTCTGCTCAACGGCTTTTGAGAAGTGCATCTTCATCAAAAATGTAAGTAGAACAGTACAGTTTGAACTATATCGTCATTTTATATTTACTTATTTACTATATGGTCCTAAAACTAGTTTAATATCACTTTTTCTATGGATTTATAATTTTTTTGTAAAATACAAAATAAAAATCAATTGGGTTAAATGGAAATTTGGTTTTGGGGTAAATGGAAATATTAATAACAAATATAATTTGAAATTTTATGGTTTTCAAAATCTTTTTTTTCAATTTCAGGGTGCGCAATTATATAAAAAAAAAAACACCAGGACCAAAATATACTGTAGAAGATGTCGAAAAAGCCGTTGCTACCATAAAAAAAGGAAATAAGACATACAAACAAGTATCAGAGGAATATAATATTCCAATTACTGTAATTTGTAATAGAATAAAAGGGCGTCAAACTGCAATGAAATATACTAAAAATGGACGTTTACCAACTTTACCAATGAATGTTGAAAATGACATTGAAATATGTTTAATTGCTCGGGCATAAATAGGACAACCATGTGACAAAGCCGAGTTGAAAGAACTTGTAAGAGAATATGTTGTTATTAATAATATTTCTACCCCGTTTAAAAATAACACCTCCGGATGTGATTGGTACTATTCATTTATGAAACGTCACCCAAGCCTGAGCTTTAAAAAACCAGAACAATTACAAAAACTTAGGAAATATGCAAGGAAACCTAATATAATACATCAAAACTTAAAGCTATTGGACAAAAAGGTATTGCATTAAATCGTATTTCAGGTGGATCTGGGAGAAAATTAATTTCTGTGTTAGCTTGCTGTGCTGCAAATGGAAAATATTTACTACCTTTTATTATATTCAAAGGAAAAGGAGTACAGGTCCTTGATGGACATCAGAAAAATCCTATCCCGGTACTTTATATGCAGTTTCAAATAATGGGTGGATGGAAGAGACACTTTTTTATAACTGGTTAAATACTATGTTTGTAGAGTATATCAATGGTTTACGCAAATAAAGAAATATGGAACAACAGAAAGTTGTACTGCTGTTTGATGGGCATTGTTCACATTCAAGTTTGCGCATAGTTTATCTTCCAATTCAAAATAATATAATGTTAGTCAGATTTCCAAGTCATTTAACCGATCGCTTACAACCTTTAGACAAATGTGTGTTTGGACCTCTAAAAATTGCCTGGAACAGACTTTTAATACAGTTTGGAAAAGATATGGTAGGTAAAGGAGCTGGCCGTTTAACTAAAGGTATGTTTTCAAAGATGTTAGGCATACTGTGGACTAATGCAATGAACCCTAGCAATATTATAAATGGATTTTCTACAACTGGTTTGTTTCCTTTTGACAAAAAAAAGTTTCCTGTGGACGAATTTGACCCAGTTGATCTTGAAGAATACTTAAAATGTAAAGCCAATGAAGACAGTAATAATCCTTCAGTTTCAACAATTGAGCTACCAGATATAATTCAACATAATTCATTAAATATGCATATATATGAAGATAGTAATAATCAATGCTTTGAAAAGTCATTTTAACCTGTAGTTGTAGAAAATCAAATTTCATTAGAACCTTCAACGTCAAATAATAATATATCAGTAAGTCCAAAAGATATAATATGTATTTTTACAAATCAATTATTACAATATAAAACTAACAATACAATTGGTGTTACAAAAGACCGAATTCCTCGTCTTAGAGCAACAAAGTATGGTGAAGTTTTAACAAATGAAGATGTGTTAAAAAAATTAGAGGAAGCAACCTCAAAGAAAAAGCTAATAAAATATCCTAGTAAACGTGGGAGACCTAAAAAGGCTATTGAAGATGCACAAAATATTGTGGTGGAACAATCAGTTGATAATATTGATGATGTAGTTTATTATTCACCAGAAAATGATTGTAATGACAATTCATTAGATTTAAGCATTGAAGAAGTTATATATAATACACCAATCTGGTCTCAAATAAAACCTGGAGTATTTCTTTTAGTAGATTTTATTGGAGGGAACCGAAAGAAACAACATTTTAAGTAAGTATGTTTAGTTATACGTGTAGATGAAGATGATGGGGGTATTTTAGTCCAAGGATTGAAAAAAATAATGAAATTGGAACTGATTTTTATATTGTTGAAAATGACTTGTCAGATATTACAGTAGAGATGATTCTTGCAATATTACCAATACCAACTGAACATAAGAAGAACAGAAAAACGATATACACATTTCCTGGATACATAAATGTCAATGAAAAATAGTCAGTAAATTTTTTATGCAATTTTATATTATTTTTTTCTCTTAAAATAATCAACTATTTTAATGTTTGATTGAAATGTTAGACACATATTGTGTATAGCTAAATAGTTTTTATCTAAACCAAAATTAAAAAAAATTATTACTACATGAATCTAATAAAAGTTGTACAACATGTAAATTTCATTTCCATTTACCCCACTTGACCCTACCTTTTCTCATTAATACTCACTGAAATAACTAGGGTCCGCGGGATTGTTAGGCCCGTAATCCTTGCGGATTCCCCTGCAGGGATATGGTACGTTTAATAGCGAAGTTTGAGGGACAGTTAAAGAACTGGCCGGACTTTGGGGATCGCTTTAAGTCACTTATTCATCAACGACTTTTAATTATAGATGTCGATAAATTTTATTATCTCTTAAGCTGTTTGCAAGGCTATTCTTCTAAAGTTCTCAAAGTAATTACAATTGCGGAAGAGACTTATGCTATAGCCTGGTCTATCTTAATTGAAACATATGATAAATCGCTAAAATTGGCGTTCTGTATCATTGATATGTTAAAGGCATTGATTAGTGGTGCGGTTAATACATTGAAAAAGTTCCTTACCATCTTCGATGAAGGTATTGCTACTCTAAATCTTATAAAGATTCCAGAATTTGCATAGTTTTTATTATTTTTGGTTGCAGCCAGGTGTTTACCAGCCAACAGTAGACGAGTGTTTAAGACAGATAATACCCGAGAGTACCCAGTGATTGAAGATGTAAGTAAATTTGTTAAAACTAGAATTAATATTTTGGAGAATGCAGGGTCAGCAAGTCTACCCAGTCCAACGTCAAGTAAACCAGCTCAAAGGTGGACAAAATTACCTAACGTTAATGGTCAAAAATATGCACAGCAGCATGAAAAGCGGGTTGCATTCTTGTCTACAACAAAGGAAGACTGTAAAACAGTCGGCTAGCTCGGGCAAGTGATATTGTTGTTCTTGTTATGTATCTCTTTATTAGTATTAAGAACTTTAATTTACAATAAAACTTAACATAGTTCAATATTTATAATAATATAATGTGTATTCCAAGTTGGTTAGGTTATAACAAATAAATACAGTGTTGCCACATAATACAACATAACACATCTTCTCTTAAAACAATATATATAAAAATACTAATTAACACATAAACATATAAATTTTAAATTTAATTATATTATTATAAATATATCTTTATAACAGGTTTTTTGGTCTACTTGAACATCTATGATTTTGTATAGTTTTTGTTGAATTGTTTTCTCTTATAGTGCTCTGCTCTTTTGTAGTTTCAACCGTTTCCTCTTTTGTTATTTTTTCTTCTTCTACTTCTTCTGCTATATTTTCTTCTTTTACTTCTTCTGCATCTTCCTCTTCAATCTCATATTTAACCTTCTAAATTTGGTTGGCATGTCTCTTCCAAGTAACACCACTTGGTAGTTCCACAAGATACATGACATTTCCCAATATTTTTATAATTTTTCCTTTTGTCCATTTCTCTCCTGTATATTTCCTTACTAGAACTTTTTCATTAATATTAAAATATCTAACTGTTTTATTGATCTTTTGTTTTTCTTAATTTTCCCATACTGTACTTCGAATATTAGGTTTAATTAAATCAAACCTGTTACGAAGGTTCCTTCCAAATAATAATGTAGCAAGACTTTCTTTTGTTGTAGTATGCATTGCAATTTTATAGTCAAATAAAAATTGATTTAATTGTAGACTAACATTTTTAAAAGATATTTTTTTAAGAAATAATTTAACAATTACCCTTAAATGGTCCTAAAACATCAACATGTAACCTCTGCCAAGGTCTTTCCCATGTATGTAGAGATGTTTTTTTAGGCATTGATCTTACATTCATGCATTTTCCACATTTTCCTGCTATGCTCTCAATTTCTTTATCGATGCCAGGCCACCATATGTGCTTTCTTGAAATAGACTTCATTTTAACTATGCCTAAATGATTTTGATGGAGTTCTTTTAGGATTTTATCTCTGAGTGTCTCTGGTATTACTACTCTGTGACCCCATATAATGATTTCTTGCTCTAAGTTTAATAATTCTTTTCTTAGTTTAAATGGTTCTAATTCTTTTTGCACTTGTTCGGGCCAACCATATTGTATATAGTATTTTACCTTACTTAATATCGGGTCTTTATTTGTTTCTGTCTTCACTAAAGCAGCATCCATGATTCTCATTTCATCTATTTGGTGTAAGTATGTTATTTCTGGTGTATTTGCTTTTTCTACTTTGAGTGGCAATCTGGATAAGACGTCAGCACTTTTGCTTGCAAATTTGGTGTACCGTATATCGTAATCATAATTTGTTAAGAATAAAGCATACCTTTGTAGTCTCGATGCTGTCGTTGTTAGGGGATTCCTTTTTTAGATCCAAAAATGCTGATTAGCGGTTTACAATCACATCTTATTGTGAATTAATTTCCATAAAAAATTGTTAAATTTGTGGATACCAAATATAATTGCTAACGCTTCTTTATCTATTTGACTATAATTTTTCTCGGCAATATTAAGAGTTCTTGAAGCAAACGCTATAGGATACTCTTATTGTTTTTCATTGACTTGTGATAATATAGCGCTAAGTCCATAAGTTGATGCGTCACACGTTAATATAATTGGTAGTTTTGGATCAAAATGCTTTAGGACCCTGTCTGATGTTATCTCTTCTTTGATTTGATTGAACGCGTTTACACAATTATTATTAAAATTAAATTTGGTATTTTTTCTCAATAAATTGGTAAAAGGTGCTTGAATGGTTGCTAAGTTAGGTATAAACTTCCTATAATAGTTAATCAATCCAAAAAAAGCTTGCAAATGTTTTTTGTTTTTTGGATTTGGTATTTGAGTAATAGTTTTGATCTTAGCTGGGCCTTGTTTGCACCCATCTTTGTTAATGATATAGCCTAAAAATTTTATTTGTTCTTTGAATAAGATACATTTTTCCTTCCGTATTGTCAAATTCATCTTCTTTAATAAAGTTAATACTTCCTCTAGGGCTTTCAAATGTTCTTGCTCATTATCACCAAATATTAATATTTCATCAAAATATATTTTGATGTTATTAATATGTTTAAGCGTTTCACTAAATCTATTTAAAAATATTCTTACTGATACATTTATACCAAATGGAACTCTGTTGTACACATAAACACCTTAGTGCGTGCTAATGGCCGTTAACTTCTTTGATTTTTCTTCTAAACTGTATTGTAAGTATGCTTGGTTTAGATCTATGATCGTTAACTTCCCTCCCGTTTTAATTCCAACCATTAACTCCTCTATAATTGGAACAGGAGCTCTTTCTACTTTTATATATGGATTTACAGTTACTTTATAATCTCCACATATTCTTATATCACCTGATGGTTTAACTATTGGTACTATTGGTGTTCCCCAATCACTATATTTGACTTTATTGATTATATCTTCTTTTTCCAATCTGTCAAATTCAAGTTCAATTTTGTTCTTTAATGCTAGTGATACAGCTCTATGTTGTAAAAATTTAGGTGTCACAATTTTTTTGTAATAAAATCTTTATTTTTTCCCATTGTACAATCCTAATTTGTTTGTAAATACCTCTGGTTATTTATTAAATAGTTGTTGTTCAATATTAATATATTTAATACCTGATACATTAAATATATTTTATAATTTAGTTACATTTGATTGACTTTCTGGTAAAATACCCATTTTCTGTATCCATTCTCTACCTATTAGCATTGGACCAGTTCCTTTTATAATATACCAGTTACCTTTGAAATTTCTATTATTATACTTCACTTCTACATTAATATATCCTAATGTTTCGACTGTTTCTTTAGTATAATATTGAAGTTTTAATCCATTGTTTTTAACCTTAATTTTTTTAATTTTTTCGTTATAGTCTTTTTCAGATATGATGGAAACTGAAGCTCTTGTATCCAGTTCCATCTCTACCAATTTGTTTTCCATCAAGACCCTCATCTTAATGGGACCCGTTTCCTTATTGCCTTGTCAATATTTTTAATATGATATAGTTTATTAAAACTTTCGGCTAACTCATCTATACTTTCATCACTTTCTTTGCTATTGTTTACTTTTACCTCAGACATATAATTTTTTTTCATTGGTTTCTTATTTTTACAAACATAAGATAAATGACTAACCTTTTTACATATGTTGCACGAATACTCCTTGTACCTGCATTGTGAGAATATGTCATTGTTTCTTCCATAACACGAGCAATGTCCTTTTTTCATATTGTTCACATTATTTTCATTTTTCCTGGTGTGAAATTGTTTCCTGGTATTCCACTGATTTGCATTATTTAAATTACTTTACAGCTTGTACCTTTCATTTTTTATATAGTTGAGTTCTTCTATTTCGCTTCGTCCCTCTGTATCTTTATCTGCTAACTCCTCTTGTAATGCTTCTTGTAAGGTTATAACAAACAAATACAGTGTTGCCACATAATACAACATAACAGTTCTGGCACAATACGTTAAAGGATTGTATTAAGTTTCGAGAGTTATATATTGATGGTCACTATGATGTCGTGTGTAAATTCCGTTTGAGTTTGTTTTGTTTTGATTAGAACATTTGTTCTAAGTTTTATCATCCCATGTTGCATCGGGATCAACCATCTACATCTGATACAGCTCAGGTATCGTTGTTTGGCCGTCAAAAATTACCTTCAATTTTGTTTGGCGCTGTATGGTATCGATAAAGAATGTAATTGGACAGTATCAGTGTATTCGAGCCTTGATTGATTCTGGCTCAAAAATCAGTGTAAAATCGGTTTTACCAACTCGAAAGCAAGCTTCAACGTGATAGGTTGTTACATGAGGCCTATAAGAAAAATTATGAGAGAGTATGAAGAACTCGGACATATATCAAGGTCAGATGAACCTGGATATTACTTCATACCTCACCATGCCGTACATAAAATGGTAGGCGATGAAGTAAAAATGCGAGTAGTTTTCGATGCTTCTGTTAGATATCAGAATGGGCTTTTTCTAAATGATAAATTATTCGTCTGTCCTTAACTTCAACAAGATATCGTTGATATTTTATCTGGTTTCCGTATCCATTAAATAGCCTTTACCACAGACATCTGTAAGAGATGTATAGACAAATAAAAGTTCCGTGATCAGTACAAGATATACCAACATATTCTGTGGAGGGAGCTCGCTCATGAGTCTATGAATGAATATACCCTTCATACAGTAACATATGGAGTAAATTGTGTGCCATACCTGGCTGAAAACACTGGTGAAGAATATCCGGATGTTAGTATGAAGGAAATTTCAGAGGAATAGTACAAACATTATTCTTCTTACATTAATATGCACAGAGTTACCACACGCATCAGGCATTGGTTGCATTTGAAAGGAAATGAGTAAAGATTTTGTTATTACTCAAGAATTAAATTAAGCATTATAAGCTATTGTGAAGCAGGCTCAGAAATTATTTTTTGATGATCTAGTGCAAGAACTGCATCAAGGAAAACCCTTCAGTTCAATGCAATTATGTCCGTTTTTAGATTCCTATAGTGTAGTGCGTGTTGGAGGCCATTTACGCAATTCTAGTTTATCTGATAAGCAGAAGTTCCCCATTCTAGTACCTACAGAATTGCATGTGGCACTTCTTATTGCTCGTCATTGGCATTCATTTGCTTGTTATTCTGGTCCAAGGTTGGTAACCGCTCTTATTAATCAACGCTTTTGGATTGTCGGCGTTAGGTAAGTAATACATAGAACAATTAGAAAATGTATAACCTGCATTAAGACCCGTGGTAAAAATAGTTCTGTTATCTACCCATTAAAATTACCTCTTTCTCTTTTAGTTGCTCATTAATTATTATTTTTCATTTAATATAGTAACAACGGTGCTGAACTCGGTTCAAAACCCGTTCACAGCACGGTTCAAAATGAGATTTGAATACGGATTTTAATATGGGGTGAACTGAGTTCTACAAAAGTTCAGTAAGAGTTCAAAGAC